AAATAAAGCTCAACAATTTAATCGGAATTGGATATCCAACAGAGAGATAGAAACTGATAAATGAGTCAAGTGAGTGGTAGTGATATAAATAAAGTGCAGAATTGTTGTGAATTATAGCGTGTGTTTAAGTTGAAGTGACGGTGGAAATTAAGTGTATTACAAAGTTTGTAACAAGAAAGAATAAACTAGTTTTATTTAAGAAAGGACTTGTATCGCTGAAGTTTTGCTGAAAGAATTTATACGGGAAATTAACAAATGAACAGATACGTAACAATAAATTAAATTTTTTTATTAATGCATGCAAGCATGAGAATAGACCCAGATACATGACTCTCACACTGAATGGATGAGCATTGGTTTGATAAAACTGCAAACAGTAAATTTTTTTAATGTATTTCTCAGATTTGCAATGCATTAGTTAAACAGCATGTTATCATTTCGACAAGAGACAGACGTATCCCAGAAACTCTTACACGTGATGTATTATTATTAGTTACTTTCAATGAAACATTCTATATTCCAACATCTTTTAATTTGATGTTTCTAAAAGTTTTCTTAATTACTGATATTATGCATTGCCCTCCATATTCTACTTTGTATGGGTTTTAACTGTCACTGTTGATATTCTCCTGGAGATATTGCCTATCATCAATCCCTGACCAAGCTGTACTGTGCATCATGATATCACATATATACATATATACTATAGAAAATATTCAGTTATACATTTTGTCTTATAATGAATTAAAGAAGTTACTTATAATTCATTAAAATAATACATGTACAAATACGAAATAGAAATGAATAATTCTAAAACTTTGTATATTTTTCTATCTTTGAACTGTCAGGTTTTATGGAAATCTTTAAACTATTCATTCTGACATCTTTCAAGCCCTTCCTACACAAATAAATCAATGACAATGTACACATGGTATTATATATTACTTCTCTGACTACTACACAGGAGTTATATTAATACATTAAAATCTGTACGATGAAAATAACCTATTTAATGAAAAAAGCCTATTTCTAAATAGTACTTTGTTAAGGGCTTTTATGCTAAATCTTTGTGAATAGTTTTAGGAAGACAAGATGATGCCTTGTCCAAAGCCCATAAACTCTGATTAGGGGGAAATCTAATTACTATTTATGTAATCTTTTATGGCTACTTTCATACTTCATGACAGTAAATATAAAATTAATGTAGACAAAACAATGTTTGTGTATAAAATATGCATACTGACATGCTAAATTAGCCAGAAGTAACCTGTATGCGATTTTTTGCTGATAATTAATTTTTATGCCATTTATATCCTAGAAGTATCTGTGAATTACATGAAATTCACAGACTTTTGCAAGTTTTTGTCAGTAATATGAAATTCTTGTAGTTTCCCAGAGGATAACACAAAATTTACTGACATTCTCCAGTTTCTTTGGCATGTGGAAACCATGGACTACAAATATCTGAACACTGATTCGAATGATTGTTTGTTTGTTTTGAATTTCGTGCAAAGCTACACAAGAGCTATCTGCACTAGCCATCCCTAATTTAGCAGTGTAAGACTAGAGGGAGGGCAGCTAATCATCACCACCCACTGCCAACTCTTGGGTTACACTTTTACCAACGATTAATGAGATTGACTGTCACACTATAGCACCCCCACGGATGAAAGTGCAAGCATGTTTGGTGTGATGGGGATTCGCGACCCGCAGATTGTGAGTCGAGTGCCCTAACCATCTGGCCATGCCAGGCCGATTCAAATGAACTCAAGAAAGACATCATTATAGCTATGTGATAATTTTATTAAGACAACTGTATATGTTTTAATGAAAAATTACCTCATTTTTCTTTGGTGCATTATCATAACTCTCTTGTTCCTGTTTTCCTATAACAAACTTCATTTTGGTAGGTAAAAAGCTTTCTCCCATGGAATCAGCTCCTCCTGTTGGTAGAAATATAAATAGTGTTTATTTGTCTATAACAACACTGAATGTAAATCATGTTTTCACTACATCATACAGAAATAGAACACAGCCATTATTAGTCTTAAAGTGGGTTCCTCGTCACTGAATTTGAAGGTCTTGTGTATGATTTCCTATGTGTTATACACGTACGCTGCAGAGAATAATTTAAAACATGAAGAGTAAGTGAAAACAAGTAGACGTATAAGGCCTATATTCATACACAGAGTAAGTTTCTACTAACTCACATATATTTATAGAGGAACTTTAATTTTCTGCTGGAACAAAAAGATACAAATCATGTCCTTATGGAACAAACACGAAAGTTATAATTTCCCTATACTGAAAATGTATTTCTGATAGTTACTTCCCTCTACACACAAGATTAACTTTTTCCATTTTGTGCTGCCCTCTATATGCAAACGTTTTTTATAATGCATGCCACAAGCCTACCGCACCACCTATTGGAATCATAGATTTCAACATGTCTCTGATGCAAATCATTATACATCATCTCTCCACCAATGGGAGAGCACTACTATCACGTGATGCATGTGACTCCTTGTATGTGCCACTACTGAACAACACTTGAGTGGTCACAAGTAAATAGACACCTAATTTTTCGTCATTTAACTGATTTATGCTAACTAATTTG